GACATTCAAAATTCATTTTATCAGCCGTTCTGGCAGCTCACTTTTGGTCTCCATATTCAAAAATGTTAGCATTTTTGATGTGTAAAAATATTAGCAAAACTGTTAGCATTTGGATATGTAAAAATGTTGGCATTTTGAATATGTCACAAGTTTTTCTTACCTCATTGTTGACTAGCTTCTCTTCGTAACTCTTATTGGAGTCAAAAGACCGTCCTCGACGCGGTCCGTCAAGCTTGCTGGAGAGCATGGATGGGTTCTCCTGCTTTTATAGTAGAATATGGAGAGGTGCGGGGCTCAGATAGACGCTTCTGTCAGTCTGATAATGATATTTTCTCTCTGGATTTATAAAGAGATCAGGCGGAGGGGGGGAGGAGCGTGCATCTCTGGAAAGTCCGATCAGCCGACCAGATTCTCTCTCTAACACTCGTATTTTTATTGATAGAACGGAAAATAGTTAACAGGATTGTCACTTCTTCTATTTGTTTTTTTTACTCTAGTGATTATTTTTGACAGTTACCTACTGTACTTTAAAATGTACCCTTAATGTATGACAGATTGTTTTTGTTTTTTTGTGTTCAACTGTTTTCCCAAGATCTACAGCAAAAAAAATTATGTTGGATGTATTCATTATTCACATAATTGATATAATTTAAGGACGTTTTAAAATAAATATTAGCAAAACACATACAAAACCACTGCTGGAAAATGATACTTTTGACTCACAACCTTAAAGTTACCCCACTGACAACAAGCACCATCTCTCCTGTACAGTTTATTATGCTTATATTGATAATGATCTATATCATATTGGTTAGGCCTATCACCCTGAAGAGTCAGATCATAATAAACACTTTTGTACTATTCATAATGTTAATTTCTAATAGTAATGTTTAATATTGATTGAAGTATCACAAAATGTCAACAGAATATGGCACGTTAATTACCAGTCTTATCAGTAGTTGATTAAGATCACAAGAAAAGAAAGGAATAAAACAATCCATTAAAAGATTCACAAAAATTGAGTTGTAGACCTTGGCATTTAAACACACTCAATCTTTCATTTGGTTCATAGTCGACATTCGTTTATTTATGTACTCTTTCCAAGGTTGGTCTGGGATCAGTGAGCTTTGTTTCCACACATCTGCGGAAAGACCAGTGATGAAGTGATGTGGATACCGGTCTAATAAGACACGGCAGCAGGCCTAGATTAACTGGTGATGACTGATTCGGAATGTGCCCGTCACTGGTTCCTGTTATCTCTAAACCAATGGCCCCAATCCACACTATAGTTCCAGTCCGGGGGTGATTTGTTCCAAAGGGAGAAACATGGAAAATAATAAAAGCACGTCAATGAGCATGGCTTGGATTAATAATGATGTGGCAGTTATGAGCAATGGCTGTTTACAAGCTCACACCAGCATTAATTAGCTCAAAATGCAATATAATTAGGTACTGCTGTACGTCCATTTCCAAACAACATGACTAATCTTTTATTCAGACGTTCTCACGCTACTTCTGTGCTTTATTGGTCCATTGTCTTTGCCTCCCACTGCTTGGTCATTGATCTGAAAGACCTCCATACCCCTCCTCAGGGGGACAGGCAGACAGTCTTTTGTAAGGCAGCCCATAAGTTCACATCTCATTTGGCTTTATGAAGTAAGAGATTCACCATCTATTGAAACACAGCCAGTTTATAACAGTTCCAACAGCATTTTTGCACTATTTTTGTTTTCACTAAAATATTTTTGCACTATTTAGTGCAAAGGTAGAATACAGGGATGCAAACTCATCATGGGTGAAAAAGGTGACCCCCCTTTTTAACAACATCATATGACCCCTTTAAGATGAAAATTACATGAAATTACCATTATATCCAATAGATGGCAGCAGAGGATCACCCATTAGCTCAGTTGCCATTTCAACTCCCTAGTTTTTCTCACATCTTGCTTTTGGATTTATTATAAAATGACTGAATTATAGCAAGTGCAGAAAGTCACAAAGTCTCATGTCATTTAAAAATATATAAATAAGCCCAGACACCAACAGCCTAGGGTTAATTATTTGAATTATTAAATAATGAATTAAATATTTTAGCGCTTTTTTGGGGGGAAAATTAAAAAACTTCATTTTTCAAACATTGCCAAAAAAGGACACATCAAAAGGAGAGCTTTAAGTTATCTTTACCTGTAGAAGCTGCTAAAGGCAACACAGACTTGTTGCTGCTGTAGTTTTGTTACTCTGAATTTACTCAGCATCACTTAAAGCACAGGCTAGCTCCACTTAAAGCACATTGCTACCGTCAATCGCGGATCAATTTGGCAGATTCACTTGCGTAATTTTTTACACTCGCGTTTGTCATTCCTTTAACAGTATACGTGGACTGTTTGGTCCTCTTAAACTTTTCTTCAAACTTTTCTGAAGTATGTAGAGAAACCGAGTAAAGGGTGCTTCCCTTATAGCTTACTCACGCGAAAACTCCTGATATAATCAATAACTAACTATACAATGAATATCTTATTTACATCATGTATGCTTTCTTTATGTCTTGTTAGGAAGATATGTGAGCATGTAGAAATACGCAAACTTGCGAAAACACAAATTAGATCAGAGCGGATTTTGACTAACCTACAGTAAATACCTCTGATTGGCCACTGCTTTCAACAGAGATGCCTGTGATTGGCTACAATACTCAACGCTGCAAAACACGTTGTAAATAGAAGCTTTTGGTTTTGTAATTCTAAACCAGAAGCGTGCACACAAAAACACACAGGAGAGTTTGAAAGCGGGTGACTTTGAGCGGGTACAGAACTGAGTTGGTACTACTGGCACTGTAAAAAGACACCCCCCCCCCACCACCACCACACACACATTTTTCTCGTAGGTGACCTATTTTGATCTCAGAAAAGTGAATTTTTACCGAAAGGTGAGGAGTTTGCATCGATGAGAATATCTTTAGCTCTGCAAACCAATTTCCTATACTGTATCATTAAAATGTTGAAAAGCATGATGTGTGCAAATCAAAATGCTTCGTACTTTATGACTCAAAGAATATCCAATTCATATAACCACAACTCATTTAGAGATAAGGCACAAGAAATGCTTGAACTTGAATAGCTGTTTGGTGGTAACAGCTATCTGGGGGTCAAAAAAGAACCACGGAATAAGCAATGTTTCATCTAAAGACGCATATATCTTAATATGGTTAGCATGTACACCTCATATTTCCTTTTGAGATTTACATTCATTTCCTTTTGGCTATATATAATAAGGGTGTTTGTGCAGAACCGGTGACGTACCGCATGATTGAGCCAAATCATGTTCAGACTAATCCAATGCAGCACTGGAGTCTGGTCTATTAGCATAAGCTTCACTGTAGACACACAGCTTCTGCAGAGACTTCATTCTGAGGCAATTCAATCTGCACTCAGTCTCAGCAACAGGACATTCCCCTCAATCTGGGTTGCAAGAAAAAGGCAATGAAAGAGTAAGCTATGGTACATATTAATGTGAGTTCACTGGTCTGTCAAACAACCTGAAGTTCCTTCAAGGTATTAGAGCTTCCTGTGCTCCCAGGTGAGACAAGGGATGTGAGGCAGAACAATGTCAGGAAAGATTAAATCTGGTCATGATCACCAAGCTTCAGTTGAAAGATGACAATCCTAAGAAATATTTGACCAGCCTAGTAAGAAAATCCATTACAGAAAGTGGACCAAATAAGATTTGCTCCAGTGCTGGGAAAAAGAACTAGGTAACCCTCATTAGTGGTTTAACTGAGCTGCAAGGCAGTTGAGTCAAGTTTTGGCATGGTCTACAAACTTTATGAGACTGTAGATGTTGATGTTGACCTTTTATATCGGTTACTTAAAGGTAAATGTTAATTAATATACAAAGAAAGGAAGAAATTAATGTGTATAGCTCTGAAGCTCGGAGAGTTAATTTCGCTTAATGTCTGAGTGTGTGACCAGGGATAAACATGTGCGTCAGCATGCTGCATGTGCATCTGGCACGCTTGGCAAACTATGATGTCTTCATCATCCTGTATGGATGATGGAGAGTGCAAAATATGGCTATGACAGGACAGAGGGGTATATGATTTCATAATAATCTTTTCAAAGCTCTGGAGGAAATCAAGAGGACTTCCTGTTTCATAAAGTGAAGTAGTGACATTTATAATGTTCCAAAATATTTCTATTTAAAAGAATGCTGTTCTTTGAACTTTCCATTCATCAAATCTAGAAATAAATGGTTTCCACAATATTAAGCAGAATAACCGTTTTTAACATTGATTTTAAATGTTTCTTGATCACCAAAGAATCCTTTCAGAATGATTTCTGAAGGAACATGTGACACTGAGGACTGTAATATCACAATTTAAAATAACAAAATTACTGTTTTTACTGTATTTCTGATCAAATAAATGCAACCTTGGTGAGCAGAGACTAGTAGTGTATGTATATAGTACAAGAGCCAATCCATCCAAAGGCAAGTAAATGATCGTGAATGATCCTTTTGTCTTTTTATGCTCATTCAAAACGTCAACTGACATTGTAACAATATTGACAGCACACATTTCGCAATCATACTGCAGTGTCTTTTTGACTCATTACCAGTGTTAGCATTTCAACACTGAAGCTGTATGAAACACAAAAAGGTTTCCAGACCTTTCCGTTTTTAACAGTATACAGTACCTCTCAACTACTCTGAGGTCAGAATGGGATGTATTATGTGGAAAGCAAAGGAGCTTTTATGATCAGTGTTGTGCGTAAGAAGAGTACGTGGTGATCTAATAAAACTGAATTTGCCAGGCCTAGAATTGAAAATGAACTTCTAATATTGACGGATGGTGAAGTTTGCGGGATAAATTTATTGACATTTCCAATGAAATTCATTATACTGGATGATTACTTTGAAATGAGTGGCATTTTAGCATGTTTTTTACAGTGACAGCCTTTTTAGAGGGAACTTCATAATAGCCGTTACAAGACAGACTTGACATTTTCATAGTGCAGGTATAGATGACAGTAAACACTTAGATGGAAGAACTGTACAGCCATGACAGCAGCCAGACCAATGCAATGGACTAACTGAACAGAATGACTGACAGCTGTTGAGACACTGACAGACTTGACTGTACATGAGCAGTCACATTTGATTAAATTCTTGCTCGTATGATATACTGCCTGGCAACCATATCCAGTTCTTTCTTAGGAAGCAACGAAATCACTCAAGAGGAAAGAAAATGCTTGTGTGATGAAGGCTAACCAAGTCTTGTCTACAAATGGTGAACATTTGGTGAATTCATTTAGAGTTCTACAAAAAGTGAAATTTACCTTTTAACAGCTCAGGAAAGAGGTTCTATACTATTAACATTTATAAAGTAACACACCATACAACTAGTTTGAATATACTGTATTTAAATGTATTTAAGATAAAGTTAAATTTGTATCACGTATGAAATTTGTTCAATTGTTTGTGAAAGTGGCAGATGCACCTAACAGTTCATAATGCACTGTTAAGCATACCAGCATTAACAGATTGCATTTAAAAAGAGCGCCATGTTGGTGGTCATGACAGGAATTACCCTACTGCGACTCGTCTCCCCAACCCTCATCTGAGAAAATATCAGCCTGGCGTTGTTTGAAACTGTTTTTGAAATCCTCATCAAAGTGCTCTAGGTCATCTTCTTTGAAAATACCCTACAAAATAAGGAAAATAAGAAAAAATACAGATGTTGTATTACAAAAAAATCTATCATCTAAGTAATGACTGATTATGTGAGAGTGTCTGTGTACTATAGTGTGGTGTTCTCACCTTTGGTAGGTATCCCAACAGTTTCGTCGCATGCTGTTTTAGGAGCCTCTGTCTCTCCTCTTCAATGATCTTTCGTCGTTGAGCCTCTCTCTCCTTCTCCATAGCTCGCTCCTCTTCCTCCCTCTCCTGTTGAATATTTAGATTCATTTATTCCATGTTCTCTGTACTATCAGCGGTAATTTGTATAGTCTGAATCAGAAGGAACTAATGTCTAAGCTGCACATTTGCATGCCTGATTTGTGGCTTTAAGTCTTACTTGTTCAGCCAGATACTGCTGTCTCCTTTCTTCCAGCAGCTTCTCCACAGCCCGTTTGTGTTCCAACTGTTTCATACGACGCTTCTGGGCATTCATCTGCTCAATGCGGTCATCCTCTGCAAACTTGGCCATCATCATCTGTCTAAAGGCCTCCTCTTCCTCTTTCTCAGCTTGTATGCGCAACTGCTTGAAGGCCATCATCTCCTGACACGTCTGCTGTAGCTCAAGCCGCTGCCGGATCCTCTTCTCCATCTCTTCCTGTGAGTGACATGATGTAAAGAGATGGTAAATGTACGTAGTTTTACATGGTGCTAGTGAATCTAAAAAAAAAGCATCAATAAATAATGCAAATTCTTAAAATAATTATTATTATAAAGCAATGATTTTTTAATAATTAAAAATAAAACAGTGATTTTATACAGTAAAAATACATTACAAAAATAAGTACCATCATTAGGGTACATTGCTGAATAAATTCACAGTGTAGCAAAACTTAATGGTCTTGAAATATGTTTAAATTTTCTTGGTTAATTGAAATATTCAGACTGGGACATTTCATGACTGGGATATTTTCTATATAGGCATTTTAAGATTAGTGTTGCCAGGGTAGTGGTTTTCTTGCACTATTGGGCTATTTTAAAAATGTCACAGGAAAAATTAGTGTGTTGCGTGTTTTTGGGCCAATTTTATAATGTACCGTAGCCACCAAAAGGTTTATTTGCGGACAAAGAAAAATGAAAATGTGTTATCGATCCTTGGAATGAATACCTGGAGGTGTGTTTCATGTCACATCACAAACTAGAGGTTACACGAGTTTCGCCCACATCAGGAATTTGAAAGCAGGTAAATTAAGTTTGACATTATAGATTAATTGCACATTTATGCTTGTGTGTACGAAAAAAACAAAAAAAAAATGAGTGAATGTGGAGAGAAGAAGAGTAAAACAAAAAGACACTAGAATTTTTTCCTGAGATCAGGCAACCCTACATAAGATTAACCTTTTCTTTGTAAAAATGTACAAAGTGTATCCAGTAAAGTGAGATGTAGTAAGAGACATTGTAAGAGAGTTCTCACAATTTCCTGTCGTCTTGCAGCCTCGGCCTGCTCTTCCAAATGAAGTTCCTCACGGACGCGCTCCATATTCTCACGCTCTCTTTTTTCCATCTCGATCTGCTCCGAGAGCTAAACACGAAGGAAAGAAAGAACACATTAATGCTTGTATCTTGATTACTCGCCTGTACTTAATGGCACAGAGGATGAGCAGTCATGTACCATTTTGTGGAGGGTTTCTTTCGCCTGTTCTTGCTCTCTAACTTTGACCATCCTGTCCTCCTCCTTCCTTTGCTGGTAGTGGGCAAACTCAATGATGCGCCTGTTCTCCGCCTCCACCTTTTCTCGCTCTATATGTCTCCACTCCGCTTGCTGCTTTTTAAAATCTTCAATATATCTCTGGGTGGCCACCACTTTCTCGAGTCGTAACTGAAGCTCCCTGTAAATGAAGTTTGTCAGTTTCAAACCATTCTAGAACCAAGATCTTACCAGCTCATCTAAAAGAGATGATATCATCTGTTTTCTCCAGAATTTCCAAAAACTACGCAGAAAAAGGGAAAACAAAGAACACACTTACCTCTGATCCTCCTCATAGATCTTCCGCACTATTTCGTCCACCATGAGTTTCTCTTTAAGAAACTCTTCATAGGCTTCCTGTCTCTTGTGCTCCTTCTCCTCAAGCTGCTGCTCAAGTTCTTGCTGGTAACGCACCACTTCCTCATACTTCTTCTGCTCCTGCTTCTCCTTCTCCATCTCTGCACTCTTGTGCTCGTCCTTCATCTTACGGGCAATAGCAGCCTCTTGTCGCTGGTAAGATGCAAATTCACAATAAGCAAAACCACAGAATAAGAGGCCTAAATGTAAGACACACATTTGCAGGTCACACAGTTACCATTGTCTCATATCGCATGGCTTCCTTTTCTGCCATCTGTGCTGCCCGCTCTCTGTTCATGTAGGCAGACTTGAGCTTTAACTCAAGCTCTCGAAGCTCAATGCTGCCAATAAAACACAGAGTATACACATAAATAGTAAACCTATAAAAACATTACGCAGTGCTATAGAGTGCCGTTAAGCTCTCTGGTCTCGTACCTGTTCTCTTTGATGTACTGCCTCATCTTCTCATCTCGGAGTTTCTCATTATTAATTCTGGCCAGCTCCTTGGCCATCCTCTCTTCCTGTTCAAGCTGCCTCTCTCTGAACTGTCTGTCCTCTTCTGCCTAAAAACATACATTTTGCAGGTTTCAAAAGAGTCTAAAGTGTTAGATTTATGTATGATCTTAAATGCATGGTTAATGTTTCATGCATGTTTTCATTTTTGGACCGCATGAAGACTAGTAGTGCAACAGGGCACAGCTAACGGGGATCCTAACAAATAAAAGAAATGAGACCACGCGGCTTTTTGAGGATACAGCTGACGTATTTCATAACGAACAGAATAAAACCAACCTTAAGAAGTGATTCCTCGATTTGTTTGCCATACTCTTCATCTTGCAGTTTGCGCAGGAAGCGCTTTTTCTCGACTCTCTCTTCGCACTGGATGTTGGCTTGCAGCTGCCGCTCTTTGGCGATGCGTTTGGTTTGATCTTCACGCATTTCCTCCTGTTTGCGGTCATCCAGCATCATCTTCTGATGGTGGTTGTGAGAGATGTTGCGCTGCTGGCTCATGAAAGACTGCAAAGAGACGGCCTCTCGTAAGTTCTACAACACAGCCTCGCTAATTAATTTAACCTTTACTCGCGCATCGTTTGTAGCATCCTAATTCGTTAAAACAGCCTACTCTTGGTTTTTTGACTACTCAAATCTGCATCATTCTTACCATTACTCAGGTGTCCTGGAGGTTTTGGATCAGCTCCGTCGACTTCGCGATATAAATGGTTTTGTTTCTAACCAAACAAAGTAGGAAACACCACGCTCATTTGTTTGCGAGTCGTTGTCCTAGAAACGCCGGGCTTTCAGACCTAGGAATAAAAACGAATATTATTGGCCAACGCAATTCTTGCAGAGCCAATAAAATGCAACAGGTTGCGGAAGTAAACATCCCCCATTTATATTCTCCAAAGAGAAATATATATTTAACGATTGCTTTATGCTTCTGTTAAAGCCATATATATATATATATATATATATATATATCCTCCTGACTCCCAGCTATAAAGTTTTGCTTTATATTTTAGTGAATTCCTCTGAGACCTTATATGTCACAGTCAAGTCTGGATGTCCTGTACAGAGCACATTCAGGGCTTTTCAGCAATACCAAATGTTTTGACGTTTCACCATGACCGATCCAAAATTAATATCTGAGGAAATATACTCGTTTTATAGTAATATTTACTCTTCGTCATAATCTGAAAATAATGCCAAGGAATTTCCTGAAAAGGTAACAGATTTTATTCCACAGATTGATATTGAATTTAAAGAATTGTGTGATGGAGACCTGAGGTTAGAGGAACTTGAATCTGCTATTTAAAAAATGCATTTGGGTAAATCTCCTGGTCAGGACAGTTTGACTACTGATTTTTACAAATTCTTCTGGGAGGATATAAAATATTTGCTATTTAAAGCTTTAAAGGAGTGTTTTGATTCTAATTATTTTCTTCCAACTATGAGACGGGGGTTAATAATTCTCATTCCAAAGTCAAACAAAGATAAAAGAGTTATTGAGAATCTGAGACCGATTACCCTACTTGATGTTGATTATAAAATTCTTACATCTGCAATTGTTAATAGGTTCAAATTTAGGTTGAGTCAAGTTATAAGTGAAACTCAATCTGGTTTTATTAAAGGCAGGTTAATACACAACAACATTAGACTTGTCTTAGATTGAATTGATTATGGATATTTAATTAAGGATGATGGGTTTGTTTTGTTTCTTGATTTCTATAAGGCATTCGATACTGTAGAACATAAATTCATTTTACATGCATTGAAGTTTTTTTGGTTTTGGTCATAAATTTGTTAAATTAATAGAGATGTTGTACAAAGACATAAATAGTTAAGTATTGTTACCATTTGGGACTTCTGAGAGGTTTAACATTAATAGAGGTATTAGACAAGGGGATCCGTCAAGTCCATATTTATTTATTTTAATAGCTGAACTGTTAGCAATTTATGTGAAAAATAGTAAAGATATCAGGCCTTTGAATGTTTTAGGGAGTCAGTTATTGATAAGTCAAAGGTTAATACACAACAACATTAGACTTGTCTTAGATTTAATTGATTATGGATATTTAATTAAGGATGATGGGTTTGTTTTGTTTCTTGATTTCTATAAGGCATTCGATACTGTAGAACATAAATTCATTTTACATGCATTGAAGTTTTTTTGGTTTTGGTCATAAATTTGTTCAAGTCCATATTTATTTATTTTAATAGCTGAACTGTTAGCAATTTATGTGAAAAATAGTAAAGATATCAGGCCTTTGAATGTTTTAGGGAGTCAGTTATTGATAAGTCAACTAGCAGACAATACCACCCTGTTTCTTAGTGATGTAGAGCAGATTCCAGTTGCCATTAATCTGGTGTCTCATTTTTCAAAAGCTTCTGGTCTGCAATTGAATTAAAAAAAGTGTGAGCTGATGGCACTTCATAGTCATGCTGAATCTCAATTGTTCAATATTCCATTAAAAAATGAGATAAAATATTTAGGAATTGTTATTACTAAAGACCCTAAAATTAGAGAAAAAAGTAACTTGATTGATAATATAAAAAAAAGTCAAAATATTTTAAATACGTGGGTTCAAAGGGATATTTCTATATTTGGCAGAATTCTCATACAGAAGTCAGAAGCACTTTCCAGGTTGATTTACAGGAAATACGTAGGCTGCGTGCCGTGCATAGAGTCCATTGTCCGTTTCTGCAGACCAACTGCCCCCTAGTGGTCGGGAGCATTTCCGTTGTGTTGTGGCCAGTCTATGGTTGTGGCTTATGGTGTGTTCAAGTCATGTCGGATAGATCGTATTTACGAGTTGATCGCACATGAACGTCACCACAAAGTCGTTATTACGAGTGGGAAACTCGAAATTTTCTTTAAGCCCCGAGTTTCTGAGTTGGGGGCGGGTCAGTGAGAAACATGGCGGAATCGATGGATGCAATGTCTGTAGTTGACGGTAGATTTTTGTTTAAATTGATAGTTTAGTTGTCCTATAAACTTAAATTGGTCATGTTCTTATTACGCAGCTGAAATCCAAGTAAAAAAATACAGACCCTGTTGTATTTTCTTGTAATTTATTAAAAGAAGGTACACCGCCATCTTCTGCCGACTAAACTGACTTGAACGCACCTGACGTCGTAATTACGACTTGTCAACTCGTGAACGTCCCAGGAGGACTTGAACGCAGCATTAATGTCGTTGTGCTGCGAGCTTATGTTTGCTTTTTTAAAGTCGTTGTGTTGTGAGCTTATGTTTGCTTTTTTAATTGCGTTGTGCTGTGCACTACTGGGCCACCGTATTTTATAGATATATTCATCATGTCTGTAAGGAAAATATTCGCTGAGTTTCGGTTCATTTTTGTGAAGCACTCCTGCTTAAGACCAGAGACGGCAAGCGCATCCTATTTGTTTTTTATTTTTTTATTTTACAAAAGCACAAAGTTTTCTTGATATTGTGAGTGCACACAAATTTACAGTTCCGAATGATGTATTATTCTTACCTTACCTTTATGAGCAAAAATGACGGCGTATTTAATTTGTTTTAATTTGTTTCTATAAATTCTATTTTCGGCAAGTCGTAATTTCAACATCGTCTGACATTCTCATATGATGCTCATAAGTTTCTTCATATTGCGTTAGTATCTGATAACACCAAATCAGTAAAAGAATAAAAATTGCACTATGAAAGATCTCCATGATTAGCCTGTTTTTGCACTTCCTGTTTTTCCCTGCTTGAGAATTTCTGTCCAATTAATGGATGACCTTAGCACACGTGTGGTTTTGTTTAGAATTTCCGGTTCACTTGCAAAAAGGGCAGTGTGAAAGCGAACCGCACCAAACTAAAAAAATCAACATTGTATTTGGTCCGGACCAAAGCAAGTGAACTAGCGGACTTTCCTGGTGTGAATACACCCTAAATGCGAGGGAAAGTTTTGCTGCATCGCAGCGCACAGCTGGCTTGCAATAAAAGGCATATCATAAGTCATATGAAATTATATTTTTGAGTGTTACTGCAATGGTTAGAAATATGATATGCAAAGTTTAATTAGGTAGTTGTATTAGGTAGAAAACAAGAAACATTCTTATTAATTGTTCTAATGGAAAAGAAAACCAGACAAAAAGCAGAAAGATTCATTTTAAATGTCTGGTGATATCAGTTTTGACATGTCTGGATGCTATAGACACTAAGGCTGCATTTACACTGGCACAAAAAAACATTTTTCTCACATTTGACACATGGCCGTAACCAGGGTTTGAAAATAGTGAGGTCTGGGGTGGGGTGTTAAGAATTGTGCTAAAATAACACCTAAAATGCAACTCATTACACTCTCTCTGTTCTGTCTGTTTTGAGTGGGATGGACATTGATAAATTAGACCTAATTGTTTATCATAATTTGTTGATACTTTACTATGTGATAGGTGTGTATTAAAGTGTTATTTGTTTATGATTCATGTAAGAATACTCAATACTGAAATAGCTTTCATTAACAAGCATTGCTATTTGGATGGTAAGTAGTAAGAACTTAAAGCTGCAGTCTGTAACCTTTTTTGGTTAAAAATGTTCCAAAATCAATATTTAAGCAAGTACATAACCAGCCAGTGTTCAAAACTATCACTTTACTTATTCACAACGTTTAGCTTATAATATTGTTTTCTAATTTGAGAGGTACGGGTAGGTTTTCACTGGAAATTCGAGCATGGCACTACGTCATTACATCACGTCTGTAAACATAAAGAAGTTGTCCCGGCTAATAGGCTATCACATGTGAGGATCCTGCAGGTAGCGGATCGTTTATAGCCTTTTCTCACAGCAGCTAGAATAATTAAATGTATCATTCTGATGGCGGATTGTAATCCAGAAAGGATTATGTGTTTATGAAACACATGTGAATGAAATTAAATTATATTCCAGTTATAAATGTGCTTCTGATTACAGACAGCCTGGGATTACAAAGTTTTGTATTTTAAAGAAAACCAGTTCGAAGGGAGCATAATTTGCTTTTTGGGTTAAAATAATTTCTTAATATGAAATTCGAAGAGTATGAAAATTAGATTAGACTGTGCAGAAATTTAAATCTACAGGCTAATACACACTACTCATAGTCACCAATGCTGATGTTGTTAACATTAATCATTTGAGAATAAAGTATAACAATAATAATAATTTGAACGGTTTGATGTGATATGAGCTAACCGATCTTTAGATTTAATCACCATTGGTAGCGAGATTTATGGTAATGCTTTTTTCCTCTGTTGGTCAGAACAAATGTGGCAGACTTGTTACTTGTTCAGATGGCAATATACGGTGAAAATTCTTATTTGGGTCATATTCCAAGACGTAGGCTATAATCTGTGATTGCGAAGTACAGTAAATATCCACACTGGTGCGGTGACTGACTGCCACACATACTCTTCAGAACATTAGATTCATCCGCGCTGGAGCACAACCCACACAAACTAGATAATTCCGCACACAGCTGCAATTCCAGGTTTTCGAACAGAGATGGCGACAAAGAGGCAAAACTTACGGACTGCAGCTTTAATTTGATTTCAGCTTCATTTCAATTAACAATATTTTAATAGTTTTAGTTTAAGTTAACAATTTTAACACTTATAAACAAGTGAACACAAAGGCAAGAGTCAAGCTAAAATATATTTATATATTATATATTATATAATATATTATGTTTTTCATGTTAGATTGCGTCACGTTATCACATGTATTTAAAATATTTTTGTATTTATTATTATTATATATATATATATATTATATTATAATATTATATATATTATAATGTATATACTGTATTATTATGTTTTGCTGTTATATATATATATTCACAGC